TCCTTCGCCTTTGCTACACGCATTCGGTTTTGAAAACAAAAGGTTCCAGAGGACTTGTTTAAAACCCTTACGGGGGAGGGGGGGACGGGTTTGACCTCCCCAGTGACCCCCCCTCGGTTTTCTGCCAGCAGCAGCAGAACACGCTCTTTCTGATGTGGCCTCCTTCCCTTTCCCCTGATCGTTCAACATCGTCCTACGTATCTCCCAACGCTCTTCAGCCTGCTCCTCCTTCTGCTGGCGATCGTCACAGCCCGCGCCTGGGTCGTTCCGCCCGCGGCCATGGCCGCATGTGGCAACACTGCCGCAGTGGTCCCCGTCAAACCCTGGCTCGTCGGACCGTGCTACTGCATATCTCCCATTCGCTCGCCTCGTCCACTTTACCGGGGTCGACGCCATCGACGTCGGCGTCAACGCCGTCATCGTCGGCGTCGTCGACGACAACGGCGTCGGCTTCGTCGTCAACGTAACCTACGTCGGCGATGCCAGGACGACGGCGGCGGCGGCGCAAGGCGTCGTTCCAAACGGCGGGCCCTCTCCGCGCCAGGCGGCACGCGCCTCCGTTGGCGGCCGGGTGAGCGCTACAGCGAGCAGACGCTGTGCGGGCCGCGCGCCAGGCCCTTGCTGACGTACCTGCAGCGCCTCTTCCTTCCTCTCCTCCTCCTCCTCCTCCTCCTCCTCCTTCTCCTCCTCCTTGCTGCTGCGTCCTCCACCCTCCTCCTGCATCCCCCTCCTCTGATGATTTCCTGTTCCCCCTCCTGCATCCTCCTGCATCCTCCTCCAGCATACTCCTGCTTCCTCCCATTCCCTCCTCCTGCATGCTCCCTCTCGGCCTCCTCCCATTCCCCCTCCTCTTTATCTCCTGCTACTCATTGTCTGTCTGATTGTCCCTGCTCCTCCTTCTCCTCATCCCGCTCCTCTCATTCAATCCTGACCCCGCCCTCATACTCCACTCCCTCCTCCTCCTACACATCCTCCTCCTCCTCATTCTCATCCTTATCCTTTCTCCTCGTCATGTGGGTGTTCGTCTTCTCTGTAGGTTACCCTGTCCCAACTCCTCTTGCTAATCATCATGCCCTTCGACAGCGCTAACATTAAACTAATTGCCTATATTATCAACATCGTCAACATCACCACCACCAGCGCACGCAACATCATCAACACAATCACAGCCTCATCCTTCTCCTAATCCTCCTCATGTCCCAATTCCTACCCCCATCCTCCTTCATCCTCGTGATCTGTGTCATGCCCATCCGTGTCCTTACTACCGAACCATCTACCATCCTGTCCTCCCGCGTCCGTGCATTCCCCTTTGAATTTCCCTCCTCCTCCCGTCCTTCCCTTCCACATCCCAACGTACCCCTCCCTCCCGTCCTCCCTCCGACTACCTCCCTATCCCCTCTGCTTAGCCTCTCATCCGTATCCTCTCTGCTTAGCCTCTCCTCCGCTCGTTCCGACCGTTTTCTCCCTCTCATCCTCTGAACCCTCCCTCCCGACCATCCGATCCGTCGCCAGCCCTCCAAATCCCCCCTTCCTCCCCCCTCCCTCCCTCCCTCCCTCCCTCCCTCCCTTCTCTCCTGCACAATCGAACCATGGCCATAGCAGCGCGGGTCAAGAACATGGGACCCTTAGCCGAAGGTCTTGACCCCATGGAATTATCACAGACGGGGAACGCTCCAAGGTGGCAGGTACAATGAAGAACAACATAAGGGTGCCCCTCCAAAACTAGGCCTGCACAAACTTCCAGGCGAACTTTAAGCACGCATATCCTGTAGTACACGTGTCTCCCCCGTCCATGCTACCTTCCAATATCCTTCTGCACCTTTCTTTTCCGTCGTCTCCGTCCTAGCCCTTCATGTCCTCCCTTCCCTGCCTCGTTGGCCTCCCTCATTGCCACCTCCGTCCCATGCCAGATCCCGCCCCGCCCTCCCAACGCACCACCCGTCCATCACACTCCGTCTGGTTCCAAAACCTCTTCCGCCCCCACTTCCACCCCCGTTATCCTCTCTCGGTCCATCCATCCTCGCTCCCTTATGCCTCTCGTTATCCCAGCACATGTTCCTCTCTGGCTCTCTCAGTATCAGTATCTCTATCTCTCTCTCTCTCTCTCTCTTTCCCTCTCTCGCTCTCTGTCTCTCCCTCTCCCTCTCTCCTTCTCTCTCTCTCTCTCGTTCTCTCTCTCTCTCTCTCTACTTCCCTCCCCCTCGCCCTATCAATCTCCGCCCCTCTCCCTATCCCTCCATTCCTCCCTCTCCCTCTCTCCTTCTCGCTCTCGCTCTTCCGCCCTTCATCCTCCCCCTCCTGCCCTATCCCTCTCACCAATCCTGCTCCTCCGCCACCCTACCCTACCTCTTTCTCCCTTTACTCACCCCCCCTACTTGCCCTCCTGCCCATCCCACCCTCACTCGCCTCGAGAGGCACGGACGCAAGGGACGAGAAACACGGGATCTGACGAGGGTAGGATAAACGTAAGATCTGGCAGAGATACTTCGGGATCTCCGCGTGCTGGCGGCCGACCCAACAGCGCGGCGGCCGCTCCAGAGCGCGGCGGCCGTTCTGGAGCGCTCCATCACATGCTGGGAGCTGTCAAGAGGACTGTGCAGCAACGCGACCTTGCCCTAAGAGTGCCTGAAGGGAGGACGCAGACCCACAACGACCCTCGAAATCCCACCAGCCCTTTAGGGCGTAGGTGGTCTAGGGTGTTTCGTCTTCCATCTGCCCCTCATCCCCTTCGGGGAGGGGTTTGTCACTGCTCCTTATTAATATGCACCCCCTGTCCCCCCCCGGCCGGCGACCAACCCGGAACCATGCCTACCCCATGCGGGCCCGCCCCCCAACCATCCCTGTCAAAAATCAATACAAACACACACGCTGCCTCCACATTTGGAGCATGCGAGGCCAACCCGATGCGGCCCCCTCAAACCATCCCTCTTAGAACAAACAATGCAAAATACAACCTGGGGCAAAGTCTTGAGTCATGTCATGTTCGTGAGGCCGGCGAGCACCTTGCTTTGTTTTTGACAGGGGCTGCGGGGGTGTCAGCATATTCCCTGCTGCGCGCAGGGCTACCATCCCTGACAAAAACCACTGCAACATGCACCTCGCGGCTAAGTCTGGATCATGCGCGGCCATCCCGCGATCACTGAGAAGTGGCTTTTGACAGGGACGACTGGGGTGGTGGCGCGTTGCCTGCTGTGCGCAAGCCCACCAGACACAATGATGGGCATTGGTTTTCAACAAGGATGGCGGGAGCCGACATGTTTCCCGATGTGTGCAATCACGTGCGCAGGCGCACCTGACGCACTCTGCACGTGCCCCGACCGTGGCGCACCTGGCGCGGCTGGAGTGTGTGGCACACCTGGCGCACTCGGAGCACGTGGCGCATCTCGCGCACCAGGCGTGCCTGGCACGCTTGTGCCCAAAGCGCGCTAGGCACCCCGGCACGCGTGGCGCACCTCGCCCAAGAGTCGCGCACCTTGGGTCGGCGTTGGTCCATTGATTCCCAATATCTGCCCATCCTAAGACGACCGCTGAACATGCTCAGGCTCGGGTGTTACTTATGTGTCGGGAGGGCGGGTGGGAGTGAGCTCGACGGCTTGCGGGCGGGTGGGTAGCTTGATCACTGCTCCCTATTAATATACACCCCGTCCCTCACCCGGCCAGCGTCCAACCCGGAACCATGCCGACTCCATGAGGGCCCGCCCCCCCGCCATCCCTGTCAAAAAACCCAACAAATACACACTCTGCCTCCACATTTGGAGCATGCGCGGCCGCCCCGCGACCATTTTGAATTCGTATTTTCCAGGGACGGCTGGAGTGCCAGCAGATTCCACCTGCCTTCTGGGCGCAGGTGGTCGACCGACTTGTTTGACACATTAGTGGCTGCTGCCTTTTCGCCTTATCGTTTCCGACAGGCGTTCGGAACCTGCAAATGGCTCCAAAGTTTGCCAAGAAAACCCCAAAGTCGGGATCACGTGAATCAAATGAGAATGAGACGAGACGGTGCTCTCTTTCTGCCGTTGCTGTCCGGAGGCCGGGCCAGGGCGCACAGGTGAGCGCCCGGTCTGCAGCGATCGCACCCTAGGATTCTCCTCCGGCTCGGGCCAAAGCGGCGCGTGCATCTTCCTCCCTCGCACGGCCCCTCCAGCCCGACAAAACTTACAAATTGCAAGGTCGATCTACCTCAAAATTGAAATCTTCAACCCGGACATCCGCGAGCGCCAGAAGACTATCAGCCACGGCGTGGCGGAGCGCCCAGGGGCCACGGCTTCACTACGAACCAGAATTCGTCAGAATGTGTGGAGGGCCCCCCAAACGCGCACAGCAGCAGTGCGCCCCTCGGATTGCCTTCGGGCTCATTTGCCCCCGCGGTCGCCCCTTCGGTCCATGCATTGCCCTGGGGCCAGGGGCGCATGGGCCTACTCGGCCGTCTCTTAACCCCCGCGTCCGGCATACGAGGCCTCCGGCTCCCCTCGGAGACACACCGCGCGTGCGGCGCAGGCCATTCGAAGAACTAGCGTGTTGCAATTCCCCTCCTGCTATGCAAGGCGCGGCGGGGGGGGGGCGGAGGCGGAACATGATAGAGGCGAGGGGGGGGAGGGCAGAGAGGGGGCCTGACGCTAGGAAGCCTTGCCCTTAGTCACGGGGTTGGTGCTCGAGCGCCCGCCTGCGGGCACGGCGCGGCTCGCCGAAGAACTCCGCCTGCGGCAGCTGGTCCCAGCTGGCGGCGCCTGGGCAGAGGCTCCCGAGAACTGGCATCCAGGCCAAGGCCGCGGCTCCCGGGCAAAGGCGCGCAACGGCGATCGTACCAGCCAGGTGTGGCCAGAGCCCGTGGCGCACTGGCAATTGGAATCCCCGTCAGGGACTGCAGCCACTCGGGCGCGCACCGCTCATCCCAGCTCAACGTCTTCACCGCCCTCGCATAGGCAACAGCACGTCTGACACACTCCGGGGCCCACGCCGGCCCGTCTCCTCCAGCCGAGCCCCATGGCAGCGCCACCACGATGCCGACGAAGATGCCGACCGCGAAGACGGCGCTGAGCAGGTGCCGCCAGCTTTCCCGCTCTCACGCGGGCGACGCCCCCGCCTGGAGCGCGGCGACGGCTGCCTTCGCGACAGCGTCCTTCCAGGCGGCTGCGGGCACCTCGGCGCCCAAGGCGGCGCAGAGCGCCTTGAGCTCGGGCACCGTCCGGGAGCTGAGCTGCTCATCCACCTGCTCCCAGTCGCGGACGTCCCTGTCGACCAGTGCCTTCGTCTCCCCGCCGGCGGCCGTGATCTTCGACTGGTCCGAGACCAGGTCCCAGTCTTAGCGGCCTCCGCGGGGCGCCTGGGGGCGGGCGGCCGCGCGGCCGCCACCGTCGGCCCCTGCTTTCAATGCGGTCTCCGCGCGGAGCTCCTCCCTGATCTTCTCGATGTCTGCCTTCCGGCGGAACTCTGCAAGTTCCGACTTTTCGCTCAGGGTCAGGATTTCTGGCGAATTGCTCCCATGATCCCTCTTGTCCTTCTTGTGTTTCTTGTCTTTATTGTCTTTCTGGTCTTTTTTATCCTTCTTGGATTATTTCTTGCCCTTCTTGCTCTTCTTGTCCTTGCGGCCCCGGCGCCGCTCCGAATCCGAGGACGAGGAGGAAGAAGAGTTTGTGGAGGAAGAGGGCGACCGCCGCCGGTGCTTGCGATCCCGGCTCCGGCGCCGGCTCCTGCCAGAGTCGGCCATCTGCTCTTCCACCTGCTGCAGGCGCCACTCGAGCACCTCGGCGCTGCCATATTGCCGGCTGCCGCCGCCGGCGTCGGAGCGCCAGTGGCCGTACCCCCGGCCCTGCCACTGCTGCCATTGGTGGTTGCTGCTGCGCCACCCCGAAGAGCGCGCCGGGTACGACGAGCTGCCCTGCTTCCCCATCGCGGCAGCCGCCCAGAGCCGCAACAACAGCAGCAACACCCGGCGCAAAGGGGAAGCCCTGGCGCCGCCGGGGCGCGCGTCTACGGCCAAACCGCCCGTGCCGCTCTGCCCAGCAGGACGAACCGGCCTCTCGGAATCTTGGCTGACACTCGGTGGATGGCTGCGCGGACTGCCCCTTTACTCCACCCTGCACGCCGCAGCTCAAGCAGCATACTCACTAATGCGGTGAGCCAGGCCTCATCGTGAAGTGGGACTTCCGACCATCGGGAGAGGCGGCCGCTCAGCATGCCATGGACAAAATTGCGTCCGCAACCCCATGGGGGGGCGAAGACCATTGGTTTGTCGGCCATACTCCAGCAGAACGTGAGTGTGTCGAAACGCAAATCAAGCCACTCGGGGACAATCGCCAACGGCTCAACAGAGAAGCTCGTGCTATACATTGCGCAGACGGCCTCTTGTAGGCAATCGTGGCAATACACCCCCGACAACCAGAATATGTCGTCGACGTAACGTGCTCGAGCTACCTCTCGGTCCCACGCGTCGGATGTGCTCGTAAAGCCGAGGTCCGACCGGCGGCGAACATCAAGGGTCCAGCGCCTCTCTTCCGAGCCGAGTACGTAGCTTGCAGCAATGTTCGACAACACCCCGCCTATCGGGAGACCCGCCATTACGAAAACGACGTCCCCGAGAGAGCAAAATTGCAGCATCATGCACGCAGCAAGTGCCAAGTAGAGGTCGCGAAACTCGAAACAATAGAAAGAATCATTCGGAACCCGCGCGTGGCCGCACAGGAACGCGGCGCGCCCACGGCGGGCTACCGATACTGTCGTCTTGCCAGTGGTCTGGGCGCACCGGAGCAGCACTTGGTGGGCCGCGCTCAGGGCAGACTGGGGGGTCACCGTTTCGTAGAACTGGCCAGCGTCTGCAACCAGGCCGACGACGCGATACTTTCGCACGTGGCACCGGGCGCAGATGCTCTGGCCGTCGCGCACCCTGGCTGCGGCCATGCGGACTTCCATGGTGCTGGCCGCATCTTTCAGCGACCAGACCTCGTCGCCGCCTCCGCTTGCCCGCATGACGTGCTCAAGTCCGCGGTGCAAGAACCGCCACCTGCGCCTTCGGGGCCACGCGGCGCAGGAGACAATCTTTCGCACGCACGAGTGAGCAACCTTTTCGCAAACCTTGGCACCTGACACGAAGCATTTGCTCTTGATGGTGGCGTAATAATATGGCAACACTGTTCGGTACCGATCGAAGCCGAGGAACTGCTTCATTGGCTCTGAAAGGAGCTGGCCCATCACGGCCAAGCACCATTCATTGGCCTCGGCAGCGCTCTTGGCGGCCACGGACCACGTCGGCGAGAGCACGGCATACCGCCAGAGAAGCCCCTGGTACACCGAAGCTGGCATGCGCCACATGAACTTATTCTGCTTGTCATCTGGCACGAGCACCTCATCGGTGCTTCTGCACATGTCGCTGACGTACGCTTGGTATTCGTGACTCGTGCGTGGCCAAGCAGCCCGTTCACCTGCGTATGCGCCGTGGTTGCGGAGTACATGAACAACGTTTGGGATGCGGCATTGCGCGTCATGCCACGGCATGCCAAGCTGGGAGCATGCGCGGGCCACGCACGAACGCACGGCCGCCATGACGGCTTCCATGCTTGGCCTGTCTGGCACATCCCACACCTTGTCAACCCGGAACATGTCACGACCCTCGGCCGCCGCGTCTGGGTTGCGCGCGCCCCCAGTGTCGGCCAAAGAGACGCACATGCGCTTGCTCACGCTGACAGCGTTCCACTTGTCCCGCTGTTTGGGCAGAGCGCCTGCCACGAGCCGGATGTGTGTCCTGGCCCATCGCTTCTCCGCTTCGCCCCAGTCGGCGCGCCCGGCAATGGCGCTCTTGAGTATTGCGCGCACCGCCCCAAGAAAGGAGGGGCGCGGCACGCGCACAGCGAGCCCGTGGACAGGCGGTAGCTGACGGCGACGGAGTGCTTCGTTCACCCGCCGGGCGGCCACTGCCTTGCGGCCTGACCCTCGCAGAAGGCCGAGGTGGCCCGATAAGGCAATGGCGCCGTTGGGGGTTCTCCACCGCCTTTCGAGCAAGTGCCAGTCGACGCACGCACCCCGTGTCCCGCACCAGAGCGCAAGCAAGCGGGCATGGGGCGGCGCAAAGATGTCAACTGGCCATTGCACGCCCTGCGCCGCGAGGAGACGACGGGCAGACATCACATACGAGCGGTGAAAAACTGGGAAACAATGGGAATGCGGTTCCGCACCAGGCCCGTCCGCATGGGGACGCGCGAACCTTGCCGAAAGAGCGGCAAGGGCGCCAGCGGCCCGCGGAGCGTCAAAGGGTCCCTGCGTGGCACCTCCCTGCCGCAAATGTTTCGGCAGCCCTTTGCGCGGGCGGGCAGGAGAGACTGGCCCGCCGCGCGAGGGGGGCCGCCCCATGACATTCGCATTAGGGCGACGGCTGGCAATCTCACAAGTTTCCATAGCACGGATGCGTGGCAGCGGGCCCAACCGACACAAGAAGAAGAATGTGCGGTCGAGGCTAAATTGCCGCATCTTTCTGTAGCGTAGCTTGTCGCTCCCCGGGAAGCGTGGCCGTACGTGCCCGGTGACGTGTTCGAGCCATCGGCATGCCACTCCGGGGGAGCATTTTTGCCGGACCCGCTCTGACCTGGCAACCCCCACGTAGTAGCAAGAAGGGGACAGCCAACAGTACAAGCCGGCTAGCTGGTGCGGTCCGGCCCCGTAGAGGTCAGCAGCCCCATGGGTGAGCCTAGCTGCCTGGAGTTGCAGACACAGCAAGTCGTCAACTGCTGCCTGCAGGGACGCAGCAGGCCAATCCTTGGGGCGGCACTCCCTCCACAGGGCCCATCGGTGTTTCTCTTCTAACAAGCCGCACGCTTTCTGTGCCCAACGGTTGCGTGCGTTGCCGGCGATCCAAAGCAACGAACGGAGAGCTGCGGAGGCAGCCCAAAGGGGCTCCACGAATTTGTTTTGCCTTCTCCACCGCACGGCTTCCGGGAACAACCATTCGGAACACGCTGAAAGGCACAATGACAACGCTGTCCAGAGACGGCATCCAGCCCGCCGCCGGGTGAGGGCGAGGCCTGTTTGGACAAGGGAGCAATGCACTAACATGTCAAGCAGTCGGGTGTTATCCGCTGGCGGCTCCCCGAACAGCTGCGCAGCTGTGGGAACCTCACATGCGACGAAAATGTTAGCACAAAATCGCAGAAGCATTGAAGGGTACAATTCTTCGACCTTTCTGTCTAGCAATATGGACTTCGTTATCGGATGATCCCGTGACGCGTACGGAGACATGCCACGGGCGCACACAACCAACCGGGGCGACGGAATACGGGGTATGCCGAACGACGGTAACAAGGGTTGTGACAAATGGACGTGAATCAAATGAGAATGAGACGAGACGGTGTTCTCTTTCTGCCGTTGCTGTCCGGAGTCCGGGCCAGGGCGTACAGGTGAGCGCCCGGTCTGCAGCGATCGCACCCTAGGATTCTCCTCCGGCTCGGGCCAAAGCGGCGCGTGCATCTTCCTCCCTCGCACGGCCCCTCCAGCCCGACAAAACTTACAAATTGCAAGGTCGATCTACTTCAAAATTGAAATCTTGAACCCGGACATCCGCGAGCGCCGGAAGACTATCAGCCACGGCATGGCGGAGTGCCCAGGGGCCACGGCTTCACTACGAACCAGAACTCGTCAGAATGTGTGGAGGGCCCCCCAAACGCGCACAGCAGCAGTGCGCCCCTCGGATTGCCTTCGGGCTCATTTGCCCCCGCGGTCGCCCCTTCGGCCCAAGAACGCCCCAAGTTGGCGCCAAAAGGGCGCCAATTGGCGGTTTTGAATGACCCGGAGGGGGAGGCTTCCTGGTGGATGGCCCAAGAGGCCTCCGAGACGGCCCCAAGAGCGCCCCAAGGTGGCCCAAAGATGGCCTCAAGAGGTTGTTCAGAAGTACCCCAAATAGGGGGGGCCTTATCGTTTCCGACGAGCAGTTGCGGCGTACGGAGGTGGAGCTCCTATTGGTGCCCAGTGGCTGGCGCACCTGGCGCGGCTGGCGTGGAACATTGGGCGCGCGTGGAGCACGTGCCGCACCTGGTGCACCTGGCATGCTTGTGCCTCCAGGCTACGAGGCTAGTTCGATGGCCCCGGAGGGGGAAGGAAAATCGAGAACCCCCCTCGTTTGATCGACAGTCTCCAAGATGGCCCCAGGAGGCGGCCCGTAGCTCCCAAGAGAGCACCAACAGAGCCCCAAGAGGGCCCCATGAGGACCCCAAGGCGCCCCAAAAAAGCCCCATGAGGACCCCAAAGACCCCCCAGAGAGCCCCAAGAGGGCCCCAAGATGCCCCCAAAGAGCTTGGCGAAGACCCCACTATCCCCCAATACAGCCCCGTAGCTCCAAGAAGGCTTCCGCTGCTCCAAGATAGCCCCCAAGATTGCTCTCAACACCCTCTGTCCTCCGTTCTGTCGCCTCCTTGCACGCCCCGTTCCACTATATGTGGCTCTTCTTTCAATTTCCCGACAGCTCTCATGGGCACGGCTTCTGAATCAGCTTTGGGCGTATCCTCCTCCTGATCCCCCTCCGTTTCTTCCTCCTCGTCGCCCTCCCCGTCGTCATCTGTCTCGTCATTGTCCTCCTCGGCCTCCTCGTCCTCGTCCTCGTCCTCGTCTTTGTCCTCATCCTCGTTATCGCCCTCGTCGTCCTAGTGCCCTTCCTCCTCCTCCTCCTCCTCCTCCTCCTCCTCCTCCTCCTCCTCCTCGTCCTCCTCCTGCTCGCCGTGCTCCATATCTTCATAAGATGGCCCCATGGGTTTTCGTCCCCCTGTGCTCTCATCCTCCTCTTCATCCTCGTCCTCGTTCTTGGCCTCATCGTGTTCCTCTTCGTGTTCCCCCCCTTCCTCGCCGTCGTGGTCGTCGTCGTCGTCGTCTGCCTCTTCCTCCTCCCCTCGCTCCCGCGCGGGCCCTGGGGATGGCCAGAAAGGGGCCGTCCAAGGCCGTCCCTTTACTCCCTGAGATCTCTCTTGTTCACCCTGGTTGCCTGCTCTGTTTCACTATATGTGGCTATTCGTCCCTTTGCCCGTCAGCTTTCATGGGCAAGGCTCCTGAAAAAGGGCTGGTGGGGATTTTTGTTGGCACGCGGGCTCGCGAAGCAAGTCGAAAGCCGAGCAGGACGGGCGGGCCACGCGCCGACGGAAGGAAAAAAAACAGCGAGCAGGAGCGGCCCCATCAGAGCCCTGCCGAGCTCAACGCGGCCAAAACGGTGCGGAACGAGGACCCGGTGACGACTTCCCCAGTTACACACAAAACGTCGGCACAATGAAAAACAAGAGTCCCGCTGGCGGGGACGGTTTGTTTCAGTACGCGGGCGCCTGAAGCCAAGTCGAACGCCGAGCAAGCTAGGGCGGACCGCGCCGTAGCGAAGCTGGTGGGGATTCGTTTTGGTCAACAGGCTCGCGAAGCGGGCCGAAAGCCGTCCGAACACTAGTCGGGCCGCGACTAGGCAGCAGGAAAAGAAAGGCAAGCGAAACGAGCGAGCGGGCAGCCACTCAGAAAGCCAGAACCGATACTCCCAAACCCGGTGGCGTTGGAAATCCTGGTGGCGACCAGCAAGTAAGCGCAACCACAATGGCGCGGCGGCGCGACCATAAACACGCAGAGGTCGATCGCTCGGTGTGAGTCAGGCAGACACCGTCAGAGACGAACTAGACCGACAGGCACACCCAGACGACATCCGTGAAGTAGGCGACACAAATGCCAAAACATCGTGTCGGCGCAAGAGTGAAGAGGGGCAACCTCATCACCGACAAGACTGCAAGCGGCAGTGAAACCTGTACCACTTGTCGAAAGCGAAGTCCATGCAGGAGAACGCCGGCCAACGAGCGTACAGAGCCACACTTGCCGAACCCGAGGTCCAGGTACCGTAAGGCAGGCAATGTAGCGAGAGACCCACGGGAACCTTCCGGTCATCAGTACGGGCCGACACCAGCCAGGAGCAGGCCAGGGGGCGCCTGCCCTCAGCGAATGTGACGCAGCACCATTCCCTGTGTGAGCACTTGCGTGGATTCCAGAACACCTGAACGCCATCAGGAAGCAGTATTGGGCAGCAAACCCCAGCCGCCAGGGAAGAACCCTGTGAAACAGGAGGGAGAGCAACCCGGTGCAACAGCTGGCCGCGGTGGCATAAGGATGCAGGAAGAACGGGGGGGAAGTGCACGCCAGGCACTGTAGGCACCCCAGTATGGCAGCTAACCGCTGCAGCATTAGGATGCAGGAGGAGAGGGAAGGAAGTGCACGCAAGGCACACAGTGTGGGTGCAACAGCTAACAGCTGTGGTATAGGGATGCAGGAGGAGTGGTGGGAACTCGCGAAGCGTAAACAATTCAGGAACCCCACTTGCTTGACCTATCTTCTCCAAGATGGCCCTAAGAGCGCCCCTGAAGCTCCCAAGAGCGCCACAAGAGGGCCCCAAGAGGCGCCGAGACGGCCCCAAGAGGATCCCAAGAGGCCTCCAAGAGGCCTCAGTAGGATGCCCGAGGCACCCAAGACGCTCAAAGAAGGCCCTGGGCTCGCCAAGATGCCCCTTGTCCTCCTCATCCTCCTCCTTCTTGTCCACTGTCTCTTCCTCCTTCCTCCTCTTCGCCCTCCTCCTCCTCCTCCTCCTCCTCCTCCTCCCCCTTCTCACTATCCTCATCCGTATCCTTATGCTTATACGAGGGCCTTATCCTTATCCTTTATCCTTCTCCTCCTTCTCCTCCACCATACTCCCCCTCTTGGGGTATCGGACGGCTTCCCCTGCCCTTTGTTCTTCTCCATGCCGCCCTCCTTCCCTGATCACCTCAACTCCCCTGGGCATCGTTTCTGGATGGGCTGGTGAGGATACATTTTTGTTGGTGCTCGGGCGCGCGAAGACGAGTCGAACGCCGAGCAAGCTTGTGGGGACACGCGAAGCGTCAACAATGTTTGGGTCGTCGGCCCCTGGGACTTGCTTTTCATACCGAACCGATTACTGCCACCACCAGCACCAGAGCCTAGACACGGCCCCTCGGAGACGAGGATTGCGAGACACCTCTGGCTAGTTTTTTTATGGAAAAGCCTAATCAAAGCTTGTCATGCGAGCGTGGCTGAATCTCGCCGATCGGTCTCGACAGCTCCGTGCCCACGAGAAAAAACATTGAGAGGAAGAAGGCGAGGCGAACGAGGAAAACTGCGACCGAAGAAACAAGACAAATCGTCCCCAGCTTCTCTCGTGCTATCGGCGCCGGCCCTTCGGAATGGAGCGGCACGGCTTATCGGTATGATACTTTCCTTTCCGCTTCTCTGGTCATACACAGGGTCACCGTGCGATCGACGAGCACCGAATGTGCCGGGTGCGCGGATCATCTTCTCCCAGGTGTTTGGGGAGGGGGGGCGGGAAGAAAATTAGCCTGGCGAAGGAACCAGCCATATGCAGTTGTGCGTAACGCCATTGTGAATATCGTCGTCGGTGGCACTCCCTAATTATGGGGCCGCAGAACGTGTGAGGGGTGTGCCGAAATTGGCGCGGCGGACGCATGCGAACACCTCCACTGGGGCCCTCGCTGGAGCTCCCCATGGGGCCACGAAGCGTGTGAGGGGTACACAGAAACGGGCGGGGCGGACTGGGCGAGGCGGAAACATGCGAACACCGCAACTGGGGTCCTCGGTGGAGCGCCTTATGGGGCAACGAAACGTGTGAGGGGTGTGTGGGCGCATGCGAGCACTGCCTAATTAGGGGCCCTCGGTGGAGTTCCCTGTGGACCGCGAAGCGTGCGAGGGGTGTGCTGCCATGGGAGCGGTGGGCGCATGCGAGCGCAACCACTGGGGCCCGCGGTGGAGCTCCATATGGCCGCGAAGCGTGCAAAGGGTGCACTGACATGGACGCGGTGGGCGCATGCGAGCGCAGCCACAAGGGCCCTTGGTGGAACTCCTGACGGGTCCACGAAACCTGTGAGGGGTGTGCCGACATGGGCGCGGATGGGCGCGGTGGGCGCACGCGAGCGCAACCACGGGGGCCCTCGTTGGGGCTCCCTATGAGGCCGCCAAGCGTGCGAAGGGTGTGCCGACATGGGTGCGGTGGGCGCATGCGAGCGCCGCCACTGAGGCCTTCGGTGGAGTTCCCTACGGGGCCACGAGGCTTGCGAGGGGTGTGCCAGCATGGGAGCGGTGGGCGCATGCGAGCGCAACCACTGGGGCCTGCGATGGGGCTCCCTATGTGGCCACGAAGAGTGCAAAAGGTGTGGGCATGGGAGCGGTGGGCGCATGCGAGCGCAGCCACTGAGACCTTTGGTGGAGCTCCCTATGGGGCCGCAAAGCGTGTGAGGGGTGTGCCAACATGTGCGCGGTGGGCGCATGCGAGCGCAACCACTGGGGCCCTCGGTGGAGCTCCCCATGGGGCCACGACCCGTGTGAGAGGTGTGCCGAAATGGGCGCGGCTGGCGCATGCGAGCGCAACCACTGGGGCCCTCGTTGGGGCTCCCGATGGGGCCACGGAACCTTTGAGGGGTGTGCCGACATGG